TTCTAGGTGTACATTTTCAGGTTTTCTAACAACAAAGATAAGTTTTCCTTTATGCATGTGCTATCCAAGCACTTGGAAAATAAGTCTTTAAAAACAATATTCAGGAGTTTATGTGATCTTATACAAGCTGTTACCTATTTAGAATGGGAATATTAATATGTAGAGTATACATATAAAACTATAAATAATATATACATGTATATGATACATATACACACCTACTTAAAATAAGGAGAAGGAAAAAGACAGTGAACAGGAAAAGAAGAGGGATGGAGATCATATGTACTGTGTTAAAACATCCAAAGATATTAAACAAAAGAAAAATACGTTTTCAGATTTTGATGTCATTTGTTTTATATATATATATATACACACACCCACGTGTGTGTGCGCATGCATATACGCAACATTTGTTGATTATTTTTAATAGTAATTCTCCAGTACATTTTACAAACTAAAATGTGAGCATATTACATAGCAATAAAAAAATTAATTAACAATGATAATCCCAAATTCTGAATAGAGCTGAGAGTTTTTCACTATTCTCAGTATAAAAATTAATGCCTTTTAAATTAAAAAGCTGCAATTTAATGCACTTTTAATGCAGTAATTGCATTTCAAAACAGATGCTTAGGCTATAAAGACTAAGGTAACAATTGTTCCATTGGATTGGGAAAATAAAAAGCCTTTAAGCAACGGTCAAAACTGAGTTTTTCTACTCATCAACATTTATAGAGAAACAAAACAAACAGAAAAAACAACACATGAACTATAATTCTACAACTTAGGAAGGAAATGTAAAATATGTAATTCAAGTTAATACATTCAATTATCAAGAAAAAAAATTATTCAAGTGTTTCACTGGAAATTTACCAAAGAAACTCCAAATTTCTATTCCGCTGTGTGACAGCAAGTCAGCAATTATGATTTCAGCTACTTGAAATGGCTGGTATATTCTCAATTTGTGTCTCAATTCTCATATATATGTGTTCTCTCATGCATATGAGATCTCTCACACTTTGCTTAGTAACAGCAACAAGAAAATTAATGGTGGAAAAAACGTTCAAATTACTGTCAATCTGAGCATCGTTTATCTCTTAACTCCTATAGTGGTCCACTTAAGAATCCATTTTAGCTACTCTTACAGATAAGCTTATCCGTAAGAATCATGCATTTCCCCGTAGATGGAAAACAAATATAATTTGTCACACACTGTGGAATTCAGACATTTCTGCACAGTCGCTGCACTCCACTACAATCTCTGAAGGGGAAGACACCCCAGGTAGTTGGCTGCAGACGCATCTCAGCAACATGGCACATAGTTACAATTTGACACATAGAGTCTTTATAAATCCAATGTCTATGAAGTCAAACAAATCTCCTTCTTATTTATAGTAACAGGCAAGAGCAGATCTCTGCCGTCTTGTTACACAGATGGTTGTAACATTTTTATAGTTAACTTACAACCACTGATGCCTGAGGAATAGACACACATCTGCCCCAAACTGCCAGTCCTGTAGGCTCTTCTTTTTAAACTTCAGCTCCCAAAAATACAGTTGAAATACACACAACACTACTGCCTCTCCCAAAGTACCATGACTAAAAGCCCCAGTTAAATCTGTGTAACATGGATTGCTAATGTCATGTCGATCAAACAGTGATCACACACAAAAGAGGAAAAAATACCAGCTCTAATCACCAAGTAGGAATTCCAGAGAAAACTTACAGTCCCCGGATTCCACCTACAAATCTTCGTTTGAAAATTAGTTTGAAAACATCCAATCATAAGCTTCCAAATTATGTTTCATTAATAATGTTTCAAAAAAGCTTTACACTTCATACAACATATAGTCCACGTACTCTTTCTTGTTCTTTGATATAAAGTAAAGGCATAATTGGTTCATCTTTAAAAACGGAAATTGATTGCTTGTGATTTTCTTCTGCTCCTTGAAGATAACAATCCCACATTACATACACCATTTGGGCCTTCAAAATTCCATTCTCCCTTCTATCTGCTAATTTCTGCTATGAACACTTATCTACAGAATTTGAACAATTTAATCATAAAATTTGCTTTCAAGTAGAAAACTGATCCCAATATGCTCTTCGCCACACCAAAGATTTTATTTCTCCAACACTTACACCTGTGAAGGCACCGACACGGATCACCTCACTTCCACAGGTACAGCCTTATGTCATGCTACCTAATACTTTTGAGATATTTTACATAGCCAAAGAAATCACCATCTAAAATCATTTAGTTGGATGTCTACTTCTTTTAATGTTGTGTTTCACTGAGAAAAAACACTGAAAGGGATGGATATTTGCATTACTGTGAAAAGACTGATTTGAAATAATCTTTAAAGACTGCAGTTTAAAGCAACCTTTTGTTTTGAAAGCCACTTACAACATTTCATACAACATTCATGTAGAGCATATAGCCAGACAGAAAGATAGGAATGGCAAAAAAAAAAAAAAAAAAAAAAAAAAGGTTATTCTGTTCATTTTCAGCAGTGCAGTTATTGCAACTATCAAACTGCTGCTCCAAAATACATTCTCCAACCGAACAATTAGATCTTGCTCTTGCCACAAAACAGTTACACCAGGGCCCACGGCATTTTCACAGCAGTACACAAGTAGTGATGGACTTCTTAACTACAATGCTACCATTTCTTATTAATCAAATGCAATATTAAGTTCAAGATTAAGTCCAAATAATTTTTCTACAAGAAACTAAAGAGAGGCAGAATAAAAACAGAAAGAAAATCAGGGAGGAACCCACTGCACATTGTTGCACATTGTTGCGTTGCAAGGAGACCAAGGGTACTGGGTACCGGTGGCTGCATAAAAAGGGAGAACATATCCATGCAATAAGCAGCCTTAATAATGCGTTGTGCTTATTTGTACCTGAGTGGTGGATGGAAATCTGAGGAAAAACACATTATTTCTTCTTCTCTGTTTTGCTAAATAACACTGATAGATCTCTGTTTCCAAGATCAGAAAAGAAAAACTGCTGTTTTTTATTCGGTGGAAGTCCTGCAACTTATAAAGACATAACTGTGAAATTTTTTGTAGAAGTTATACTTGCTGTTTCTCTTCACTTAGAAAAGAATAGTTCATAGCCAATTTATAGCAGTTGGCAACTAAGAATCCATTACAGTTTTGACATGGAAACTAAAAGCAGATTACACTGAATTTTTAAAGCAGTTCATAATAACAGCTTTGTCATTAATTACCTGGATTTTAAATAAATGCAGTGTAAAATCATAATTAAAAATATGTTAGAAGAGCCCTCTCTTAAAATGCTGTTACTGGCCATGATTCGAATGCTCAATAATCTCTGCCACATTTAAATATTCTAAAATATTTAATGTGACAATACTATCACTATGCTGTTTTCTCTCCTTGCCGTTATCAAAACAGCAGCAGAAGGTAGGGCACTGCCTGCAGCATGGCCACTCTGCTTTCAAACCACTTTTCTGTTCTGGATTAATGCTTTCAATCTTTTCTACTGTATAGTCACTGCTGCTGCAGCAGAGAATGAGAAACATTTTCCACTACGTCTGTTTGGTTCTTACCAAAAGGAAAGGCTCTCCTAAAAACTTACACAGAAATTCACCTAGATACTAATGCTAATGCATAGGGGATACTAATGCATAGGGGAACAGCTAGGGAAAAAGAAAAAAAAAGATTGAACTTTTTTCCCCACTAAAAGTAAAATTAACTCCTCAGTGTGTGTTGCCCAAATGTGAAGAATCCACCAGAAGAAAACAAAGGGGAGGTAAGATCAATGGAAAAATTATGCAGTCACATAGATGGGAGACACAATCACATAGATATTTTGAGTTTCTTTGCTCTCTGAGCTATAAAAAATTACAGCAATTCTGGGTTACAAAAGATGAGGCTCAGACAGAAAAATCTGAAAAGGAAAGGAAGGGGACCTGGGAGACTGAAAAGAGAACAAAGAGAGCTTGCAAGAAACAGTGTAATATAGATAGACAGAGCCCATAGTTGGAATGGAGTGAACGAACAGGACTGGCAGATTCAGTGCAAGCTATGTTCTTGTCAGGTACTCAAAAACAGACCACTAACTTTTGTTCTGTCAGTACCAGCTAGCCCAAATGAGCTTAAACTGCACCTTGACTTTCAGTACTGACAAGAAAGAAATAGCTAGGTTGGCTGGACTTGCAGAAATGCCATTTCACTACTTCTCCCACCTCCCCAGCCACGTCTCAGCTCACTTCAATGACCCTTAAACTAAATACAGACTGGAAAACAGAGTGAAAAGGCACAGGATTCTTTTGGTACCAAGAAGAAAAGTCTCCAGAGTGATCTTTAAGACTATCTAACACAAATCACAGCACAAGGTAGTCTGGAGACTGTCCAGAATAGTCAATGTATATTGGAGGAAATATTTCACTCTAGCTGCTACCAGTTACTCCCAAGAAGTCAGTATCCTTAGAGAAGGCTAGAGGTATCTGGAAGCAATGAATAGCTCTCTGGATACTAAGACCTTCAACAAGATTTTCTTGTTTATGTAAGTTTAAATATTACCAAGAAACATAATTTGGCAATATGAATAAAAACCAAAACATTACATGGCATTACAGAATCCACATCTGTAATCTACCTTCACACTACTGAATAACCTCCTCTTCTCCTTCTCAGCCCTCCCTTCCCTCCTTATTTTTTTTTATGGTAAGACAATTCATCCAAGTTAGAACAGAGAACAGCCGAAGCAGCCCACACACATATGTACTAGGCTTAAATTCTTTGGAAGACTGTGTTGTTCAAGCTTTCCTTTTATTTATCCAAAATGGCACAAGCAAAAGATGTTATAAAAAAAACTTGACAGAATGCTTGAAGGGGTGGGGGGAAGGGTGGTCATTTTCATAAAGCAAGACCATTACTTTCAAACAATTTAGTGTCATTTTTATGTTTACAGCCTAACAGGTACAGTATAACATACCACCTGCTAACAGATTAACAGGACCTCCTACCTTGACTTCATCCTCTCATGCATTCTCCCATGCTGGATACACTGTTGGTCCAATTCATCATTCCGTTTCTGCACCTTCTCCAATCTGCCATGAAGATACTCTTTTTCCTGACTAAGCTGGTTGACTTGAGATCTACAGAAGTAAAGCACAGTGATGATGGATGTTGTCAGATTTCATCCTGCAGTGTGCCATCAATATGTGGCTTCAGCATTTATAAAATTCCATACATTATATATAATGCATAAAAAGGCTATTAGTAGAACTTACAGAAACAAGAAACTACTTCAAATATTCTTAAAATGGAAGAACATGAAGCTGCAGTGTGTCTGGTAAATACGTCAATTACTCAGTCATAGGTTGGCTATGCTAATTTCAGCTTTATTTAAACAAGCATGTCATTTGACATTAGGTGCTGCTATTAGACATCATCAATACATGTAAATCCATACTTGTTAAGCATTTGAAAGCTCCTTCCAAGTTCTTTGTTGGTAAAGGCCAACATCTAATTCAAAAAATGGGTACTAGAAACTTTTTCAGCCCTAATTGTACTTCACAGGTTGAACTCCGAATAGTACTACTGTTTTAGAAACTTTATTGCCCTGATATGCCCAAAACACTGCATGACACACACACAAAAAGAGGAAAATTAATAAAAGCTAAAGAAACAACAAAAATAATACCCACACTCTAATCTACATAACGCTTGGCAGAGCCTTTAAGAAATTTAGTCACTTTCTAGCAATTCTTATTCTTCACGGGTGAGCAGAAACACCAGATCCATGAATGACCTGGGACTGTTACTTGCTACATCTCTAACCATCAGCCCATGAAGAAACAGGCATGAGCTGTTTCTTAATATCAGGAAAAGATCTCAGATAAAATTGTGATAAAATATACATTATGCACTTGTACAGTTTAACTCCTTGGAAAAGGTTAATGAGAACATGTCAGAATCTGCTATACCATCAGAACGTAAGAATCAAAAGCAGGCAAATTTGTTTTATGGCATCTGCCACTCCAGATCTTGAGGTTAAAAAGCTTCAGAGATATCTTTAAATCATAAACTTAAATATGCTGCAGATACAGAAGGAAGAGACTTTACCTTCCTGGCTGTTAGAGAATGCAACAACTGACATTCTGAAAAACACAACAAAGTGCAAGGGGAATAAATACTCCTTCAAAAACATGTTACACTGACAAGACAGATCTGGAAATGACAACATAATCTTTTCATATTTAAATGGAGAACAATACAGGATATCATCTGTGAATCTGAAAGAACTTAGCAAGGGCAACTTTGGAAGAAGACTGTATATAATTTAAATATGGAGTTATGGATCTATTATGGAACGTCAATGAAAAATACATCAGAGTCACGCTGATGTTCACATCAAACTTAGATGAATGAGTTTCTGGACAGCTTCCTAACAGCGGGCAGGATTATAAGGAGGTAATTAAGGCCTAATTCTATTTAAAAAAAAAATAAAATACTAGTAACTGTGAAATGTCAGCAATAAAAAATAAAAAATACATTTCTTATTACACAGGATGAATGCAGTCTTTCGTCTGTACTGATGATGCAAGAAAGGCAATCAGAAGATAAAAGTAAAGGTCCATTGCAAAGCAGCACACAAGAGATCTGAGGTAACAGAGACCAGCCCAGTTAAACTCATCTACCAGGATGGGTTTCCTTTTTTTCGCCAGGAAAATGCAACTACAAGTATTCCCACAAGGCAAATACTGTTATTTATCATTTCCATGGGGCTTCCCCAACCATGGGATGCTGCTTCTTTTTCTGCATTTATATGTAGCTGTCTGATTCACAGAAAGAGCAGAAGCAACTTCGAAGAGGTAAAAATCTCAAAGTTTTGAAGGGACTTTGCTCATCTCCAGTGCATTTGAAGGTGCTTGAAGGAATCAAAACACTACTGAAAATTACCACTGAAGAAACTGAATAAAATACTGAATTCCCAGAGAACATAAGTAACACGATCTCTAATCTCTTAACACACAGCTCTAAATGCCAGATGCTTTGAACCATGTTACTTAGGTACTCTTCTCCCAATACATCTCTTTTGGAATTACAGTTGAAAAACTCAGCAAAAAATCCGCATCTATTCCAGCTAAAATACTATTTACATGATCACCATTCTAAATTAAGTATCTAAGATTCTGAACATTTAGATTCAAGTATTTCATGATACTGAAATTTTAGAGGACAGCACACAGGAATGGTAGAATGCCTACTGAAGTCAGTATTAAGAAGTTCAGGTACTGGTGTTAAAAAGAGAATACTGGTCCCCAACAACATGCATACTGAGAGTTTCCATCATTGTCTGACAAAGATTTCTCCTGTAGCTTTAAACACATCACTCATCCAAAATTATTTTCCAAAGTTTATTACACAACAGTTCATTCTACATGATTTTCAAACAATTTCAACATTGTTGGGTAATGAAAAGATACCTGTAACAAGCCTAAACAACTGTTGCAACTGTGATAGCAAATTTACACTATGAGTAGTCATTCCAGGAGCAGTACAGGGTCTGCACAAATGATCCTAAATAGCTCTGTTCACTCAGCATCGTAACAGGAATGGGCTTTATTCAAAGCAATTGCTGAAGGGGGTAACAACAGAAAAAACCTCTATACCTCTGGATCCAGCCATCTACTGTGTAAGACTCAACTTCTAAGTTAAGAAGCAAGTTAAATTTGTACCCCTACTACTCCTGCTGGGACAATCTTGAAAAAAATACCACAAAAATAGCAGGCTCACCCAAAACATTCAGACAACAGAGGCAAAGAACCAGCAAATGTTAAATAGTTATAACTTAAAGTTGGACACGGGATATTTTTAGGATGAGCTGATTTTTGAATGTTAAAGGGGCAAAGCTGCCTTTGTCCTCTGAATCATCTTTCGCATAGCAGCACTTGGACTCACAGCACAGAGGCTGGCTTTTTTAAGCACTGTCTTTTCCTACCCTTAAAACCAGTTATTTACTTGTACAGCAATTAGATACATTAAATATATGCTGTAAAATATTTTCTGCTATCTCAACGAGTACCACTGCATGTAATTTTAATGATTCATCCCTCAGATGAATCTCTGTTTCACATCTTCACACGGCTACCCTAAGCAAACACTCTGCTCCTGGTATTGAAGTGCAATTGACTGCAGTCAACCAAACCCGCAGAAAAATAGTTCAGCCGGGTGTGTGTTCTTTACTTCAATTAAACTCACACAGTTGGATGCCTACTGTTGCCAAAACAGTAATATAATTTATACATTATAGTCCAAACAGTAAAACTACACTAAAAGTCATTTAACAATATTTATAACACCATAAAATACAGTGTTAAAATATATGAACTGCAATATGTACCAAAATTATAAAATTTGTTTCTCATCATCAGTGATTAAAACCAGGATCATTGCTCTAGCTTCAATACTCACAACCCTGGTGACAGATTAGAATTCAAATCTTAATGATCAATTTACAATTAACAAGATAGAAGTGAAACAAATTAAACCAACCATTATATATAACGAGACCCAATGGGCTCCCATTGTTCCCCTTAATTACAAAACGCAAATCACAAATACACAGTGGGCAGTGTTAAGCATTAATCCACAACCTAGAAACTCAGATAGCGACAATCAGAGAAAAAAATTAAAAAATAAAAAATAAAAAAGAAGAAATCAACAAAGGACTATGGCTTATGGTTACGCCTCTGCATACAAAAACCTTCCCAGGCACTACCTTCTTTTTGCACAGCTTGAGGGGTTCATAATTTGACTGAAGTTGTCTCCCTGATTTTTTTTTAATCCTGTGGAGGGGGTTAGCTCATAAAAAATTTACATCTATCAGAAAGCCTGTATTTAATACGAGCAACACACACACAACTCAGAGGTATCCTGGAGTATCTCAAAGATCCCAAAGATGCACTCATCAAAAATAAATTTGAAATGCCTTTCATTTGGAGTGGACCCTTTTCTTTTTACCAAGAAAAATATGAAGTTACTCTTACATCTCATTTTAAAAATAGCTTGATCTGCTTTTACTAATGTACATAAGACCTAAGTTATAAAATCTTCGAAAAAAAATTCTCTGAATTTTTTTTTGAGCACAAAGGTACAGCATTCTATCCCAGAACTGCAGTTTTACACTATAGCACATGAGAATGAGTGTGAAGAGTGCCTTTTGGAGAGATGCTACTGAAAGCTAAAGAATGTTCATGCATTTTAAATCCAGTTTAAGTCATTTTCCGCATCTGATCTTCTGACCATATCAGTTTTGAAGCATTCACTAAGTTACCATTTTCCATCATCTCCAGTTTCACCTTTCAGTTCTCCTTTTCACACGCTTAGTTTTTCCCGTACGTATTTGTCCAGCCCTTTAACTGCCTGCAACAGCTCCCACTCCAATGCAGGCAATCTCAAACTATTTTGGGGCCATTTCTCAAAACTGTTTTAATACATTCTTCCACACTGCTCCTTGTGCAAAGTATACAACTTTATGGAGATCCAAGAGAGCTCCTTCTCCCCTTTCAGGTTCTTGACACAGTCAGCTAATGCTGCTAGGTGGAGATACACTTGGCAATCTCTGGTATTTATTTTCAGAGAATAATGTGTTTTCACAGTATGTTTTCTGTCTTTCCTTTATCCTTTTACAGTTACTAGTCTGTGATTCTGAGCTCTAGCAACAAAGTCTGTGTGCATTTTTATTGCTGGAATAACGATATGGTTTGAATCTATTTAGATTTTATATTACTTTAGCAAAGGAGCTCTGCTTTTTCAGAAGAAAAATTCTGTTTGCTTCTCTCTCAAACACCCATCACAACATTTGCAGGGGAAGATGGCTTATATTTCCTCAAGTTTCTAATTTCTCCCCTGAATACTTATGGTGGGATTCATCTCCCAACTTCAGCTACTTAACAGCTAGTCAACACCTCTTACTCCATGGAAAGTAGGATGGCCAGTGGAGGCAGTACCTGTGGAAAGCATCATCTACTTATATAATTCCCCTTTGATCATCCCTGGAGACAGGATATTGGGATAAATGAGTTCTCTCCCTAAGTGAGTGTTGACCCTGCTGTTAGTTCAACAGGATAATTAAATCCACCCAGCAGAAGAAATCTATCTTGAAAACAAGTTTTATCTTTGCTGAATGTTTCTCTTACTTCACATAAGCCACAAAAGAATCCTCCTACCTTTAATTGCCAAATGCATTTTGCATGAGATTTACAGAAGTCGCAGAATACTACCTCACCATTTCAGCTTTCTTTTTCCCACTACCCTTAATATGACCTTGCAGAAAGTTTCAACAAAAAGTCTATTTGATGTTGCATATTTTTCAGTATGAAAGTAATGACAAGGAAGGAATATGAGGGCTGGAACTGCAATATTCCTGTCCTATAGAACTCAGTTTTTAAATAAATACCTTCCTACTTTTGCATTTATTTAAACCAGTTATTGCTTCTAATTTTAATTGTACTTCAGAATTTTTAATGGTTTCGTATGTAGCACTACTACTGATTCTAAATGAGAGCACCACATAATAAGCGTCAGCAGAATCACAGCTTCAATGACAACAAATTTTTCAGAGATAATTATTCGGCGTGTACTGTTATGAATGGAGCTTTAAGTAAATAACTAAAGCAACACGCTATGGTTTTGAGAGCGTTAAGTATTTACTATTTTTAACATAGTTTCTGATAAACTGGAATTGTAGTTCCACTAAGAACTTTCTACTTTTCATATTAAGAATAAGAACATCAGAAATAATATAGTAAGCAATTTTTAAACTGGATTTATCTAAAACCAAGAAGATTAAATTAATAGCCACAAACATAATCTGAAAAGTAGAAAATGAGAACTGTCTTGGAAAAAAATCCATCCGTGTTACTTAAATGGCATGTGTTATATTGAGAGGATGTGCAATATCTGGGACAAGATGAACAATAACAAATATTGAAAAACAGATACAAAATAAGGAAGCATGTCAAAATAATAAAGGGGGCAGGATAAGAAAATACACTAACCTGTATTTTTCTGACATTTGTTCCAATTTGCTCGCCAACAAACAACATTCTTTCTTTAATTTTCCTATGAATGTTTTCTGGGAAGTCAGCAATGAGTCCAATTCATTTACTAGAAACAATAAAATTAGAAAACTAGAAAATCATTTTAAAATTACATAAACGTATAGAGAATTTAGAAACTATTTAATATATTCTTTATTTCTCTGGTTTAGATCCCACTGGTTTTGGTATGTTTCTTCATACTCCAGCTACATGCACATGGAATTATAACATCACCATTCACCAAGTAAAGGCTGTATGTCAGAATAAGCTAACCTAAAGTGTTAAGGTGATGTGACCACTGAATCAGGTCTTGTGTGACAGGAATCCCTGTAAAGACTACATATTGCAGCCAGTGGTTTTAATTTTTAGCTGGAAGGTTATTGATATTTCTGGGAGGAATAAAATTAGCAGCCTTAGCAGCCTTTTGCTTGTTCAGCTGGTGCAGAGGATATGCTAGTAATCCAAGCACGCAGACTGTAATGTGCATTATTTTGTCCTTTTAGAGGGTGGTTATTTTATTTACAGTGTCCTGTGCTTACTGTAATTTATGTTCAGTCTCTCATGATCAGATACAAGACTTATTATCCAGTTTTTATAAATTCATTTCAGCTACCAGTAGCTTGGGCTACACCAAAACTCATGACCTAGAAATAAAAGACCATTATTCTTCTGAGAGGAAGATAGTCCAAAATAGTTTTTCTTGATTCCTGCTTTTAAAATCATTCACAGAATCACAGACAACTACTACCCAAATTTCCTTTATGCATGAAAGATCACAATACACAAGGGTTTCTTTATTTTCAGCACCTCCTTGTATACATACTCAACCTCAAAGTTGTTTCGCTTTTATGTACTGGGATAATAAATGCACCAGGAGGGTAACTTATACATCTCTTGTGCAAAGTTACACTTGGTCATATGTAGATGCGGTGTCTAGAGCAAGAATTCTGTGATTCTGAGTGCTTCTTCTCTCCTACTGTGTAGACAGTAGTTATAACATAGCTGTTTGCAATCCCTCAACACAAGATAAGGTCCTCTAGTACTGCGATAATGCTGCAAAAAAGGCAAAAAACAAATCAACGGGAGGTGTAAATGTGCCTGCTACTTCAGGTATTAACTGGCACTGCTAAGGAGTAATACAGGCTACATCATTTTTCCAAAGGCATTAAAGGACCGGTGGAAAAGAATGCTATTTCATTAAACATATGAATACGTCCATATCACGGTCCATAAAAGCTGAAGCTTCTTCTCCTTTCTATGCTCAGAGGCTACCTCCTTAAAAATTATTTTTTGTTTTAATATGCCCCTTTGTTAAATTTACTGGCATGACAAAATAACAAAAGGCTTTTTTTGTTTTGTAAAATCCATTTTTACTCACAGATTAAGGTTAGGAGTTATTGATCTGCTAAGTCAATATGATGAAGTCTCTTATTATGACAAACTGAAGTATGCAAGGGATTAAATATCTTTCTTCTAGATTGGGGGTGTTGGGAGGGGGCTCATACTAATGCTAAAAATGTTTGAGGCTGCAAAGATTAAATAAAGGAACATATCAATTTGGAGCCAGTGAATTACATCCAGCTGCGACAGTGAATTAAGAACCGATTAATGGCTAAAGCTTTTCTCCAGTTTGGATGCTGAAGCAAACTCATTAAGCTTTTAGAGTAGCTATAATGTGTGTACTGTGGGAACTGTTCAATGCTATTCAGGAGACTTTAACTGTAAGCTCAGAGCATTTCCCGCAGAGCTTCTGATGCTATTTTCTTTATATAACATGTGTGCCTGAAAATCCAGCCAAAAACAAGCCCTTTGTTTTTCTACTTTGTTGTGGTCTCTCTCAGCTTTACGTTTCTTGAACACAGGTAAATAAACTCATAATCCAGATGGTGCAACAGATGTGAGAGCAGCACTCTGAAATCAACAGACAGTGGGCAATACTTTCCATTTTCTCTTTTAAACGCTAACTAATATGTAATTCGGAATCTCCGGTGTAGTTAGCATCTGCTCCCTTCGGCCAGCCAAAGGTTACAGGTGTTCCTGATGTCATTTCACAGTAAGGCGTGGGCCTGGCTTGTGAGTGAGTGCCCAGGCTCTAATCTTTCCCTACCACCTACCAGTTTTCTCATGCTGGGCCTCCATTTGCTGCATCTTCTGTGTCAGCTCCTGCTCTCTTTGCCGGGCCTGAAGGGCTCGGGCCTTTGCTTCATTGCTAATGCTGCGCTGAATGCTCTCTTTCTCCAATCTATTAAAAAAAAGGAAAAAAATTTAAATTTGGTAAAATAAGGTAAAAAGGCAAAGCAGAACGTTCAATTAAGAAAAACAAAACTCAGAATCTGACCAGGCTTTTCACATGAATCATTTCTATCCCACTGCAGGTTAAGCAAGCTGACCTTTCTCTTACAATGTCAAGCTTTCTCTAGTGACTAGTAGAAAATGGGTAAAAATTATGACCTATTTCCCGAGTGAAAATTAGCTATTAAGACTATAATTTTATTTTTTTAAATTTAAACATAACTTCTTTTTTGTAAGGAACTTCCTCAACATGCATTTTGCACTGAACAGATGACTTGTATTTTCTTTTAAATGCTATCTGTTTAATTTAGGGACCTGACCCTGAGATGGACTGGTTCCCAGTGAGCCAGCGGGAGACAAGTCAATGGGAGCAATTGCCACAGTGCTCATAATTCAGCTACTCTAAAAGCCTAATGAGTTTTCTTAAGCAACCAAACAAGTTTTAACTATTAATTTATGTAAATAGGAGATGAATGCATCCATTACAACACAGAAGCCTGTTAGCGCCACGCAGGCCCAGCCCTTGCAGCCCTGCTCACTAGGGGGCTGTACAGGAAGGTCTAAAGCCCAGTACTATTATCGAAGTACACAGGCAAGAGAGCAATTTACTTGACCAGATATGCAAGATGGGGCAATCTACTCCTGAGGCAAAACAAATGCTAGACTACCACACTCCATTGAAGCATTTTATTTAATGCAAGCCAAGCAAAAACAGCATGGAAAATAAGAAACAAAAAAGATATATGCATATAAATTAGAAAAGATCCTCAACCACAGATTTATATCTAGACTTTCCCAGAGGTCGTAAATATTTTTCTTGTGCATATTTGGACGTAGATTCAAAATTCCACACATACGAGGACTGATTTCTAGATTTCAAAGGACATACACACACACTTGTATTGAAACTACATTTTATAGCTTAGGATAGATTCCAATGAAGTCTTAGAAACGTGCTGTTTTATTCTAGTGATAATTTCCATTCCAGGGGACTACAAAATAGAACACGGGCACAGATCATGTAAGGATAAAGCCACATCTCATGTGGTTGCTGCACTTAACCTTTGGATCAGTGCCTAATAACCCATCCAAGATATTGCAATATCTCAGCATGACATACACAATGTTAAATCTTCTCTCTTAAATTTACCCCAAAGCAATACAAATGGTGGGTTACATTACACTAATTCCTGGTCCTGATGTTGCAAGCAGTACCTGGGGCAAAACTCCCTTTGAAATCACAGGCAGCTTTTTCTGAGGTGGGACTGAGCGATTTGACAGAGATAATACACTTCAATAGCAGGAATATTATAGCTTTAAGGAAACAAAGCACATTGTTCAAGGATATTTCAAACATTGTTTTATACTTTATCACATCACTCTCAGAATTACTTTGTAAATATACTGATGCTGTACTAAGGAGTAATACTTACATCAGTTCTTAAGTATAAGCTCCAAATCTGGAAAACTTTAATATGAAAAAACATTTCATATTTGCGGGAAAGAAAATAATCTAAAAAGCCCTTCCTTCCAGTTCCAAATGTCTTTTGCCTTCAGACAGCTGTCATGAGGCCTGGACTGTTTAAAAAAATAAAACAAAATGCACCAGCACCTCACATTTCCACCAGACATTTCCAGCAGCAGAAAATGGCATCAACACAGTATTTTGTTTTACAGTGCCTTTGTGTGAGATTGCTGTTGGGTACTAAGTTGTCATCTGAAACACAGCTAGCTGACTGGTTCCATGCTTTGAGAGCTCAAGCTACCAAGGTAGGCCTGTACAGGTCCATTTCTCATTGATGGGGTCCCTCCTGTCCAACAAGAACTCATGCTATTGGAGAGTTCAAAATAAATGGAAAACATCCTCTTGCTAAGGGGATTCACCCAAAAAAGCAATGCATCTAGGCTACCTACTGTAAATGCAAACAAACAGGACCTTGGAAACAGTGGATTCATGATGAGTTCCTTATATCTGAAGTGTACAGGAGTGGGTGAAAATTGGTGACTTTATGTAATGCATAAAAAACAGACTAAAAGAGTAAGAAGACACAGGTAAGTCTTTAAGCTGAATTGTAGCTGATTAGTCTCAGTATTTTGGGGACTGCGACCTATCCAGTGCTACAAGAGCAAGACCTGAGGTGCTTAGAGCTGCTGAGGAATGAAAAACTGCTTGGAGACAAAGTTGTCTGAGCCGAGTGGTGAATCACTCACACAGAGATCTGACACCCTCCGTGCCCCCTTATTTCAGTCTCTCTGTCCTCTCATAGAAAATGTCCCCAACATATACCTACATTAAAAAAAAAGAAAAAAAGAAAAAAAGAAAAAAAAAAAGTGTGCATAAAATATGTATAAAAAGGCCCAAGAAATTTTAGAACGATTAGTAGCATTCCTGCCACAACCAGCAGAACAGGAAGGCAACAATCTTGAAAGGTTTAACAATGGCTACTTAGTTGCAATTACTCTGAAACGTGAAAGAAAGTGAGCTTGGTTTAAGAAAAAAAACAACAACCTTTCAACTGTAGCTAGACAAGAGAAAGTTACACTCCTCCAGCACTGTAGGTTCTCTATTGCAATAGCTTCAACATTTCTCATGTTGACTAAAGGAAAACACAAAGACAGTGAAATGCAAGGGAAGCACAGTCCAATATTGATGATGCAAGTAAGATTAGAATCTGAAATGATGGCTTAAGATTAATTGTGCCAGAATTTTTTAAAGCATCAACAATAGTTACCAATGATAACGATATAGAATGGATGAGTTGCAGCCTGTTCTCCAACAGAATGAAAACACTGAAAACAGAAAGTAGCAAAAATTAAAGTTCTTTAACAGTATATATCCTGAAACATCCAGTAAAAGCCTATAGTTGCGGATTTGGCCATCACATGGGCCAATTTCACTAAAGCAGAAGTATTAAACTGATGGTGGTTTTCATTTTTGTGCCATGTAGTCAGAAGCAAGGAGACAAACTTAAGTTCTCCTTGACCTCTGCTCTCAAGTACATGTTTTCCATAGCGATTTTCTTGGAGCACCTGCTGCTCTGAGCCTGAGTTATCGCTGTCAAGGACAGCCCACTTAGTTAACTTCTTTCTAAATAATTCTTGGTGAAACTAAGGCCACAATGAGCTGCAGCTTATAGAACAGGAAGATGAAGAACAGAACTTCATTCCATCCATCATTTGCAACCCATAAAAAATCTTTGCTGAAAATCAAGTGAAAATTCACTTTGACATCAAAGCTAATGTGTAAAGCACATTGGCTCAACTTGAGTCACCAAATTTAGTAGAACAAGCAAAGAAACAAACCCCTTCTCCATCATTAGTAAATGAAAACTAGTTCACAGGTCCAGTTTTCAACAGAAGACTACTTTTATCCAAGTAAAGGGAAAGAAAAAAGAATTTATATATTAGTGACATAGTGACATTTGACAATAAATAAATAAACAGATTTTTGCCTACAAAAGAACAAAACTTAGATTGATACAACTTTGAATGTCACAGTGCAGTTTAGTAGTAAATAGGTCCGTACAACTTCCGTTTTGCCAAGAGTAAAAATACAAAAAGAGGAAACACAAGATGAATCACAGCACAGAATTAGGCCTTTGACTCTGGAAGTTGCCAGTAAACCTCCTCACAAAGCAACTATGATGTTGAAACAACCACGTACCCTCTACTGTTTGATTTTTCCATGAGATCACTATACGGCATTTTGTAAAAAGCTAATGGATCCATTAGTAAGGACTACAAACTTAATTGAACAAATTAAAATACTCTAACAACTATGTAAGTCCTGCAGCACATCAGAGGCTATAATAATCTCATTTCTGACATCTTCATTTCTTGTTAATTAAATATTTAATTACAAAATCTTGTGGGCTTTTAGACATACTTATTTTAAACTGGAGTTCATAAATCATTAAAGAGCAGCTGGCAGTATTGCACTGTTGTTCCAAATGTTTGCGATACCTGAACAACCAGGAATGCTGCTCTCAGTAACAGCCCACTCCCAGACTCTGCACGAACACTCACACGTAGGCAGCAAAAGGCCCTGTGGAGCCTAGCACTTCTTCCACATGCCCAGTCAAACATGGGCCCATTCCCAGGTAACAGGCAGCCAAGAAGGCCAACACTGTGAACTACTGCATAGCAAATGCTGTCATAAGATGGGCAGCACATAACTGAGGTCTTCCTTAGCTTGCCAAGAGTTTTTGAGAATGCATACAAGCTTGTGCTACCCATTTACCAAATGGAAGAATAGTTTTGAGAAGGTACTTAAGCACTGAATTTCTAGTATCTTTACAAAAATTTGGCCCACAGGCACTAAAATCAATTCAAATACTTTTGATAACAGGACTTGAAAAATCTATGTGCATTAGGAACTTCAAGGATTTCAGCCAATACCTCCGGATACAAAGGTCCAGAAGTTTTTTATACAGTCTATTTTGCAAGGTTTCCATGACACAGGTCTAACAGACTGCCCTAACAAGCATAACAAGTAGCTTTCTGAACCATCTTCTTACAGGCTGCTCATGTTATTTCAGCTACAGGTATCAAGAGAAGGATGGAAAATCAGAGCACAACCTTGCTCTTCTTTCAAGCTACATAGCAACATACACAGTTAAATAAAAAGAAAATAAAATCTGGAAGAAGAGGTTACAGTGTCTACGTGTATTTCCTATTATGTGAAATATTAGAAAAATACAGTTCCTACTATTATAACAGAAAGCACTCAAATACTAATAAAGGTCATAGAAGAATGTGTATAAAATAAAATAATAGTTTGCTTCACAACACTTTACAAATTTCTTCTCTCTGTGCTCCACATGTATCTTTATGTCATACACAGAAGGATAAGGATTTGTTTTTTGCTTTTTTTTTTTTTTTTTTTTTTGATGAGCAGAGAAACCTTAGCAGTTGCTTCTAAAACACTAAGAGAAATTGAAAAGTACCAAG